CAAATTAAAAAAAAAATAAAGTAAGAAATGAATAATATAAATATAAATTAAATACACAAATAAATAATAATCAAATGAAATATCATCAAATACATTTTATTTCATTTTCATTTTATTTCTAAATAATAAAAAAACAATAATTAAATCAATTTCTTCAATGAATAGAATTATATCACTTAGTTAGGATATAGGTGTTGTTTATAAATAAACAATAAAATGATCAATAAGAAATTTGTAAGAAGGAGGAATAGACAAATGTCAAGAAGTAAGTATAATAGAGAATAAATGATAAAATTTGATTTGAAGAAGTTATCAAAATAAAAATAAAACTATTTAATTAATATGAATATTATTAGTTGTAAATTAAAAATTAAACAAAATTTAAAAAGTAGATAATTAAGTATTAATAGAAATATCTTCTATTGTTCCTTGCTCAGCGGAGATTAACTAATCCATTTGCTTTAAAAGTATTTGTTCTTCAACTATTGCCTTATTCTTTGATTTTAGTTGTTGAATTATGATAATTTCATTTTCTCTTTTATTTAATGTACAATAAAGTATTTTAAACATCAATTATTTAAATATTCATTATTTAATTTTTATTTGATTTTGATGTATATTAAATTTCTTCTTTATTTTATTATTTTAAGAAGAATATATAATTATTACTGTATTGATATGAGTTAATATTCTTTTTAGAATCAACCACTTGACCCTTTTCTTTTGATAATCTTATATTATCAAATAATACTTGTATCATAACAAGTAATAATACCATCTTTATAAATACCCATTCGTTTATTGTCAATGATATCACATCATTGTAATTAATAAACACTGTTATTCTTGTAGTATTGATTAAGATGGTTTTCAACTAAATACAACATTATAACCAGTCAATAACTAGTTGATTTGAATAATGTAAATATTTTAGGATTCTGTGTGGTGTCTCTGACGTGCTACCTTCGAATCTAATTAATAATAATAAAAATAAAGAAAGGAAAGAATAAATTAAGAATGAATAAAAATAAAAGATAATAGAATAAATGATTTCATAATTGTTTATCATTAATTATATCATTAATTGTATTATCATTTATTATAAATATATTGATTATTCATTTATTATTATATTTATTATCTTTTATCATATTTTATTATTATATTATTAAATAAAAATAAAATATAAAATGAAATAATGAATAAAATATAAAATAAAATGAAATATTTAATAATTATGAATTTATTAAAAATAAAAATAATTTCATTTTATTTTATTTCTTATTATTTAATGTTTTTCATAACAAATATCAATTAATAAAAATAGAATGATGATAAAAGAATAAAAAAGAAGAAATTAAAATATAAAAATAAAAGAACTATAAAAACAACTAATAAATAATAAATCAATAATGAAATTAGGATATAATGAAATAATGATAACATCAATGTATTTTAATAATATTAAAGATTTTATTAATTTAGAAATAGGAATTAAAAGATTTCAAGGAAATATGGAACGATTTCATTTTAATCCAATTCCATTAGATGAATATTCAAGAAAATTCTTTCCTAATATTGAAACATTTCATATTTATAATAAATATGATGAAATATTTAATGATGGAAAATATTTAAACAAGTAATATGGTATAAAGTAGA